AGCTACATTACTGTAATAATAATAAAATTTCCCAAGCATAAAGGAAAGATTTGCAAGCCAATGAGTCTGTCACATTTTAGAGTGCTGCATAGTCTTTAGAATGAGAAACATTTTAATGTGAGCAAAGGCAAATCACTTACAGTACGGGAACATTCAAAAGCTAGATGGTATCCTCTGAATACTTTAGCATTGAGGTAAAATAAATAAGTCAGTATCTTTCAGCTAAAGAGCTCAGATAATTTTCTGTGTGGATTATATTGCCAGAAGAAAATCAGAGAAGCAAATACTGGGGAGAATAGTCATAATTTGTAGAAAACGGTTGTGTGGAAGGTGAAAATCTTTACTACCTCATTAAAATGTCTACTGCATGTTTTCTTCCCAGAGCAGGAAAATGCTAAGGTATCTGAAATTGCTCATTCCTCACCGCAGTACCTGCGGAGGTGCCAGGTGGAACTGATCTAGGGTTCCCTGCAGCTCTGTGCTGCTCTGTGGGCCGTGATGTTATGTGGACATCTTGCAGCCACCTATTGCTGCTGCTCTCCTCTCCTGGCTTCAAGAGGTGGCATCAGTAAGTACCCTAACACATGTCTTCCTCCAAGACAATGCTGGCTGAGATGTCTGCTTTATTCTAGGTGCAAGGGGCCGTGATGTTATGTGGACATCTTGCAGCCGCCTATTGCTGCTGCTCTCCTCTCCTGGCTTCAAGAGGTGGCATCAGTAAGTACCCTAACACATGTCTTCCTCCAAGACAATGCTGGCTGTCTGCTTTATTCCAGGTGCAAGGCTTCTGGGGCTGTATAATGTGCCAGCTCCCTTTTGCTGAAGAGAGGAATGGGAACCAAAAAGGGGGTCTTACCCACCCTCCCTATATGGTTAAATAGGTTGTATTTATGTCATGGAATTTCTGAGCTTCATCTGGAAGTGCTGGAGCGTGTCCAGAGAAGGGCAACGAAGCTGGTGAAGGGCCTGGAGCACAAGTCTGATGAGGAGCGGCTGAGGGAACTGGGGCTGTTTAGCCTGGAGAAGAGGAGGCTGAGGGGAGACCTCATCGCGCTCTACAACTACCTGAAAGGAGGTTGTAGCGAGGTGGGGGTTGGTCTCTTCTCCCAAGTAACCAGCGATAGGACGAGAGGAAATGGCCTCAAGTTGCGCCAAGGGAGGTTTAGACGGGACATTAGGAAAAACTTCTTTACTGAAAGAGTGGTCAGGCCTTGGAACAGGCTGCCCAGGGAAGTGGTAGAGTCACCATCCCTGCAAGTATTTAAAAGACGTGTAGAATGAGGCGCTTAGGGACATGGTTTAGTGGGCATGGTGGTGTTGGGTTGATGGTTGGACTCGATGATCTTAGAGGTCTTTTCCAACCTTAATGATTCTATGATTCTATCATCTTTTTTCTAGAGATTGAGAGCTTGAACAAAATGTTTTCTTTAGCATCTTTTCGATTTTAAGAATACAGTAGGAGCTCTTAATCTTTATGAAAAATTATTCCTATGTCTCTATTTCAAACTTATTCCAGAAATACAGCATTATTTATTGTGTTGTAATACTGAAAGTTGTCAGTTCAGAGGGGGGTCATGTTATGCTTCGTTTTGTGCAGAGAGACAAGACAAACTAGGGGTGAAAGAGCTTGGAGTTCAAAACAGTATTAAAAAACCCAATCCCTTGATGTAAGGTGGTGGCAGTGGGGAACAGGCTGACCTTTGACTTCAAGCTGTAACCGGGTCATACACTACCTCTTCCTAATCCTTGGTTAGCGTTGCATGCTGATACCAGGGTGAAAACAGGGGAGAGCGGGGCAAATTAGATATATTGTTCTAACAGCCAATCTTTTGCTTCAGAGGCTACTCACAGGAGATAGCAGCAATTTGGCTGTACAAATTCATTTATAAATCACATTTGGTAACTGAGACAAGTTGACCAAATGGAAATGGAAAAAGAGGAAAGTGAGAGGAAGATAATGGAGTCAGAAGGGATAAAGAAAATGTTTTTACATTAAGCCCTCTTGTAGGTTAGACTTATGGACCCAATTCTGAAGATGTTTTGGCACATAATCTCTTTGTGGTTAAATACATGCTTACAGTATGCCAAGTTCTTTGGTTTTGCCTAACTGAGGCTTTAATACTGTGTCTATTGAAAATAAAAAAATGAAACTGTGGTGCATATCTTGGGAAATCATTGCCCTAATACTTTCTTGATATACTATGCATGTAGTAACTAACAATTACTTTTTTTTTCTCTTTACTACAGAGTAACATTCTAAGCAGCCTGACGATCTGCAGACCTGAAGATGACGTTCTGAGAGTCCCATGCTGGCAGAGAGGCAGATTTTTTTTTTTTTTAATATCTCTGTGAGTCTAGGCAGATTGGTTACAGGGGTATATCTTGATTGAAGAACGATTGTGGTCACCAGTGAGAGAGCCATGAGAAAGCATCCCATGATTATTCTCCTGAAACAGAGTAGATGAAGCATCCCCAACACTTTTAGAAGTACTTTATAATTATCATGGACAATGGTAAGATGACTTGGAAAAGTGCACATATGGTTCTGGCTACCTCTGTTCACAAAGATTGCCTTGAATGGAAACGGAACCAGAGAATTGCGGTTAAGAAGATCAAGGGAATTGATTAATCTTTTCGTGAAGAGGGATTAAGGGTTTGGCTTGTTCAAAATCTAATCAAGTTCAGAAGAGAGATTATGAATCTCTACTTAAATATTTGAGATGGATAGAAAGAGAATTCCTTAAGCTAAAAGCTGATATGATTGTATGATCGAATTATTAAGACTATATGATGACTACAGTTGGGTTAGCTACTAAAAGTGGGGGTTCCTCCTTATTTAAGGAAGATGTTGTGTGTTCTTCCAAACACGTTATGAGGAAAAAGAACCTAAATGGCTTTAGATGGAATTTGAGTTCTTGGAAGAGATTGTGTAACAGAGTGGAGAGTTTCTGGGGGCAGGAAATTAGATAAAGTCTATAAATACAAGTCTATAAATACCTGAGGCTTATCTATATGTAAGGGAAGAGGGTTAAAGGCTATTGAGTGACTGCTTTCCACACAAATATTTGCACTGAACCCATCACATGCTTTTGGTGGTCACTGGTTGAGGCCAGGAATTCACTTCTCCCCTTCCTTGAATACTGTAGTTTCTTTTTTATTTATTTTTGGTGTGCATGTGTATGCCAGGGAGGATGTTTGGGCTTTTCTGACTTTCTAATGGAATAATCCAGCTGCAGCCACCTAGAGATAGCGCTGGTTGTCCTATCGGCGTAAGTGCTGAAGTACCTGGATAGTGTAAACGCATTGTGTATGTGTATATGATATACTACAGGGGTGTAAGACAACGGCAGTTCCCTTTATAGTTCTATAAAGGTCTTATAAATTGTAAATTGCTTGGAAGGGGGTTGTGACCTGGAGCGTGTGATGATATATTGAATAGATGTACCAAAGCTCCATTCTCGTGTAAAGCTAAGTGAGCTTCTTCGACCACAAATTCTTTTGGAATAAAAAGTGCCACTTTGGACTGATTGAAACTAGCTGTAAAAATGGATCAAAGTTTGTATTTAACTAGTGAAATAAAAGTGTGTATATGGGGGGGATATTATTTATTAAAAAAAAAATCAAGATTACTTAGCTCAACACGTGCAAAAGGAAGTTTTACTCATTTTAAAAAATGTTACACTTAAAAATTTAATTTTTAGGCATTTTTTTTTAAAGTCTGAATTAAAACATTTCTAGTAGAAGAAAACTCATGATTCAGCTTGAAAACTTCTTATACATCGTTATGAGAAAAATGGTTTTGTTTTCTTTCCTTTTGACTTCAGGTTTCAGCCACCAAGACACAACGTGAGTTATTCTGTCTCTGCTCTTACTGTCCTGCTGGCAAAGCATTTAGTGTGGATTGCTTAGCACCTTAGAAAACCAGGGTATATTTACATTTCATAAAGCAGAGATCCTCATTCCCATGGGTGAAATAAGTTATTCTTTAAATATATCATTTGCAGTCTAGACTATCATGATAATGTAAAACAGAGACTAGCAGAAATAGCAATAAGAAAATATTAATAGAATTGATACAAGAATTAGTTGTGATTTTTCTACACAAGTGTTATGAAGCTGAATTTCACTTTATTTCTCATCTTTTTATTTAACGTAAAAATGAAAGAGTCAGCACTTACTAGCATAGACAGGAATTTGTCATGAAGAGATGGGATTGTATTCCTAACATTATTCTTCACACCCTCCCCTTACCCCCTGCCCAAAGTAAGTAAATACTTCTTGCTAGTAAAGAACAACTGAAGAAATCAGGGTAAAATGTGGGCTGTAGGGTAATTGCTCAGGAGATTACTGACAAGATACAGAAGCTTCCAGCCAATTTCACCAGATCAGGTTGAGCCCAGCAACCAAAAATCGTTACCATCTGACAGCTATTCAATAGATCATCTGAAATATGCTTGTGGTCTCAGGTGTCCAAAGCTCAAAAAAAATACCCCCTCATTAGAACTGGAGTTAATTTACACCTTTCAGAGTTTCAGCAGAGTGACTGGCCCACAGAGAAGGCAATACCACTGTATATTCCCCAGGGAACTGAAAAGTATTGGAATTACCTTTTTTTTTGAGCTAAATAGTATGTATGAAATTCACTCTTGCCATTACAGTTGTAGATTATAGCAAGTGGTGGCATGTATGCTTCATCCCTTACAGTGGAATAAACTCATCCCTGAATGTCAGGGAAGTCTCCAGAACTATCAATTCTGTCTCAAGTTCAAAATATATATGTGCCTCTTTTTTTTTTTTTTTTTTCCCCCCTCCGAATAGTGATCTTACTGCATCATTATTGCATGTTGGCACAGCCTTTCAATATTTATGGTGAGATCAGGGCTGGTCGTCTGAGTCTGAACACTTTTGTGTCAACTTCAGAGCTCTCTATTTAAAGACAAGGCTGACAAGAATTATTATTTGAATGTGTTTTATTTTGTGCTGATAATTAAAAACTACAGATGGGTTATTGTTATATATTATTATATAATGATGATAACAATCCAGATATTTTGGGATCTTTAAGAACTGGTGGCACGGATACAACTCCGAATAAAGCTGTTTTGGCTCCTTGGTAAATACAATTTTAGATCTGTGAGTAACAGAAGACATACTGTAGTTATTTTCTTGCCCTTTTAGAGTCAGGATGAAAGGGGTCAACTGAGAAGAGATTAGAGCAGATGCTACTACCAGTTGGTAGCAACAATAACCAGTAGCTGATTCATGGAAGTTTCTGTATAATCCATTTTGTTAGAGGGATATGTAAGTTATTGAATGCTTTTTTTTTTGTGCTGGCTCTTCTATAGCTGTTGTTTTTGCAAGTAAACAGATTTGCTTCTGTAACCCAAATTCCAGCAAGAACTTTTCTCAGTACAGGCTGTACTGGAGTGCTTGTACAGGAGCACTGCTACGTACGAGCTTTGATATAAAGCTTATGATCAGCATGAAGTCATTCTAACATATGGAGATACTAAGGTTTGGACACTCATTAGCACCTTAAACATAATGTCATAATTATGTTTTGATAAAAATTCTATAATAACTTTTAATTCAGTTTAAAATGAAAAACGTCTCATTGAGTAAATGGGAAGACAGACTCCTCATTCTTCTCGTCATAATCTTTTGCAGAGAGCGTTTGGTTTTTTGTAAACCTAGAGTTTTTTGGTAAGTCTTTCTAGGCTGAGGGAGGTGGTGATGGCATTCATATATATATTTTAGGGTGGAAAAAATGTAGTCAGGCGAAAGGACAGTACTGGCATAAGAACATATATAAATTGGCCTTGAATGATTTAGGTATGCAATTATCATTAGGGCAGCTAGTTTTAGTACAGCTGTCCAGTGGGAACTGTAAGAAGAAAATACAAACTATCAAACAGTAGGAAAATACCCAACTGGCATTACTGCATTTGAGTGAGAGGTTATTAAATTTCTGGAAAGGCTTTCTAATATATTGCTCACAGCATCACAGGTTTCGACCCACCGGCTGAGGAGGTTTGTTCTAGTACTGTACCTACACATGACCTGAATGAAATGCAAAGGTAGGAAGGAAATATATCACTGAATCATAAGATGATGGAAATTACAGGAGGAAAAAACCCTCTCATCTCATTTAGTCCATTCCCTTGATAGCACAGAACATGAATTCAGTCTCACTGTTAGGGCTTTTTCTAATATTCAGGATAAATTACCCTCATCCTAGCTGCATACCATTCCTCACATTTATAATAATTGTACTTCACTAAACAGTTTTTTGTGTTTGCGTTGGCTGCCTTCAATGACTCCCACACTTTGTCACCCCCTTATTTGTCACATACCCGAGTTGCACACATTTAGGTCTTTCAATCTCTCCTAAGAAAGCCCCTTTCTGTCTCATTAAGGAAAATTGCCACAGCAGTGATACTAAAAAGTAAAGACCTGCCAGGTAGGGATTGTTAATAAGATGGGATCTCCGTGCTGTAGTTGTGCAACCACCTTGATAAATGTCCTGATTTGATATTTCAAGGTTGACAGAACCTTTTTATTTTCCCTCCTCGCGTTAGGTGTGTGTTTGGCAGGTACCAGTTACTTTCGTCACTGCTCTAATTGCCTTGTTTGAATGAGCAGCTAGTTCTTCTTGAGAGGAAGGCTGCACACTTTTTTCTTGAATAATCAGATGATCTTTCCCCTCAGAACGTCGCGTTATTGCAGTGAGCAGTTATGATTGCCGGAGTACATGCAGATTCGGTCCTTTACTTAGGATGTGAGAATTGTTTTTCATCTTTCTTACTATAAGATAACTTTAGGGGCCAGATCCCGGTGCAGTGAAACTCCCAAGCCCCGGAGGCTATGCTGGTGTGTGCCTGGCAGGAGTCTGCTCCTTGGAGAACGCTTTGCCGAGTATCTGGACACTGCTGAAAAATGATTTCGAAGAATGAAGTCAGTCACTGTCAAACAGCTGAAAATCAAATGCTGTGCTTCTTAAAACAGATTTAGCACTGCAGTTTTCAGAGCAATATCTGAGTTTTCCCCCTTTTGAGCACTACCATAGAGAAATTCATTCCATCTCGGCCTGCTCCTTTTCCCCAGTTTTCTCCTCTCTGAAGTTTTTAATTTGTCGCATAGTTTGATGTTATGGAAATTACTTTAACATCACCTTTTAGTCAGATGTTCTCTGAGGAGTACGACTTACAATACAACTTAGTCAGAAACAAGTTTGTGTCTTTGTAACAAACTGCAAATTACCAAGCGCGTGAAACACAACCTCTCATAAATGCCACTTACAACCTCGCGGATTCGAGTCCTCGAGCAACAGTCAGGCTTTTAAACTTCCTCATTCGTCTTTCTGTGTGGACTGCAGAGCAAAAATTAAAAATGCATTTGGGTTTTAACTAGAAGAAATAACATGGGGATTTCTCAGGTAGTTATGCATTTTGATCCTGTCGTCATACTGTAGAGTAACCGTGTATTTGTGGGAGAATAATTAGTGTATATTGTAAACATTAGACACCTGTTTTGCTTTGAGTGAAGAATAACTAGCCTAATAGCATGGACAAAATCGAGGTGAGGTCATTTAAGAGAAATCACTTCAGAACTGTGTTTAGAAAGAAACAGCAATGGTTTAGAAGTAGTGGTTCACAGTCATTCACTCTTTCTATATGGACCCTAACTATATAAGCTATATATACTACATGGCAGTGCAGTGTGTTTCACCACAGTGGATTCCGTTCCATTCTGAAACAGAAGGTCTCCTACAACTTTGAGCCCATAAGGGTTGATGCCACTGAATACCTCACAGAATTAAATGTACATTATCCAGCACATTGTCAAGTACATGCCCTTGCTCTCTATAGAGTCATCTAATACATGCTAAGAACCTCAGCGGGTCTCCACAAACACTTCAGCACGTGAGCAATCTTGAAGCATGAGCGCTGGGGACCTTGCAGGATCCAACATCTCTGGGACTTGTTCGAACTAAATGCAGTTCATCGTAATGTGAGGAGCTTCTTTAGTGGTCTTGGTATCAGCCTGCAGGTGAAGTTCAATATCTTTCTTAACTACGTGCCTAGTTCTGTATGGATCAATTTCTTGATTTTTTTTTTTTTTTTTCCCCCCCATAATTGCATATAGTTCTTCATTAAATGCCTTTATTTCAAGTGCAACCAGTGTTACTAATACACTAGTGCTGGTGTGGAGAGAGAGAGAGTCTCATTTACAACTTTGTGTTTCAGAATTGCCCAAGGAGTTTATGCTCTTGCTTTCCACTCTCAACTCTTTTTTTTGTTTTGCTAAAAATTTTAAAATTAATTCTTTCTACTAATTTACCATGATTTATGATGATGGCTATGATTGCGTATTGTACCAATATTTCTTTTACCTGTATGCATATTACCCATCAGAGCGAATTATCGCATCAGTGAAATGCTGGCTGTGATTTCAAAAGACAAATCAGCTTGCAAAGAGAGAAGTTTGGAAAATAAGTTTAGTGAAATTTCAGGTAATTGCAGAGTGGAATTAAAAGAAAAAACATTATGTATGATTACCACTATAATAAATGTTTAGATTTTAAGATAATATATCAAGGATGTCATCCACTCATTTTCTGAGAAATGGGATCAGTCCAGAGATTACGTAAAATCTCTGCCTCTCCTGGATGGCCTCTTGCAGAAAGGGATCCAGGGAAAAATGCATGGCGTACCCTGTGTGGCGGAGTCTGTGTGTCGATTACTTGTCTGCATTTAGTTATTGATATCTTCCAGCTGTGTGTTTTCAGGAATGCGACCCCCTGTTGTCCCTGCAGAAGGGGCAATTTCCTATGATCTGTAGCAATTACTGCCATAGACTTATTACAAGCCCTTTACAACATACCAAGTAAATACTGGTTTAGAAATTGCCTATTCATTTATGTGCACAAGAGACCGTGATATTTCCGTCTAAGCTGCTAGTCTCTTGCATCAGCCCCTGTATGATTCCGCAGGAGATTTTTACCGTATCGCTTCCTAACCGGGCTTATTGCCTGCAGAGCTCCTGTATAATATTTCCAGATCTTTGGAGACCCTTGCAAAACGTAGGTCTGCCAATGCTGATGTTTCAACTCTTTCTCTGATAACTCTGATTTCTTTCTCTGTGCAAGAGCAAGAGGCTTTAGACATAATGGCTTTGCTTCCTCTCATCCGCCTGATTATAAAACAAATAAGTTTCAGTGCAGACACATCAAATGAGAAAGGCACAGACTGTGGAAAAGAAAATGAGCGTGATTCATTAGCTGAGACAGTGTGTTGAGATCAGAAACAGGACTGATCACAAACTGTGCCCTTTATCTACTTTCTGACCTTGGATAAATCACCTCTTTGCTTTTTTTTTTTTTTGCCCCTTTGAATGTGCAGTGCATAAGCCTGTCTAGACAAAGACTGTGTCTTAATAGATGACTAGAAGGGCTAACTGGGATCATGGAGATGGCTCCCCTGCAACCGCGGGCGACCGTGCACTAGTGTTTTGTTTCGGGTGCCCCCACTGCCCTGCCACCACCACGCGTACCGCGAGTCGCAACCCTCTGCGCAGCTCCAGGCAACAAATGTACAATCTTTTGTAAAGGAATGTGAAAGCCACAAAATATAACGTGCCGGAGTAGGAACAGGATATGACTGGAATATATTGTGTATTTATGCAATGAATACAAACCAAATACGTACAAAACAAATAATAATGGAAAATGGTGGTTGACAACTCTTTATAAAAAGCAAACCAAAATGTGTTTAGTGGTAAATGAGGAAAATAATAAGCAAGGCAGACCTTCTGCAGTGCGAGTTACTCATTTCTGAATCCCATTCTGAAGCAAAAACTGGAGATAATTGGTGATTTCTCTGTTATGTTCACAGGTGTTGAGGATCTGGGGCATTCAGCATCAGCTGCGCATCCAGAAGATTGCTGGCTTGTTCCCAGAGATCTGAAATCCCATTCTTCTCTCTATTTTAATGAAGCTCAGAGATGCCCTTTTATCTCATTTAATAATGAACCGATGATATTGGAAATGGAGCAGGAAACTAGGAGAAGGGTCAGAGGCAGCGGGAAAGCTGTTAGTTGTGTCCTGTGCAATTCAGTCTTGAAGCAGGTAAAGGAAAAAAGGCAAACCGACCTTTCTGCATTTCCCTGAAAAAAAGCTTGAAAGTGTGTCCTTGGAAGAGATTTCAGAAAGTTCAGAGGAATGAAAAGAAACAGCCCTTTACTTTGGAAAGGAAATTATCTCATACTGATGTAGCTTAATTGTGATGTTTTGTGACATTCCCTGGAGAGAAATACGGGTAGTCTGCTTCTCCTAAATTTTAGTGGCACTGGCACACTAGCTGAAGTCCTCCAGCCTTTCATATTTGAAAGCCGTTTAGTTTCTGATAAAAGTTCGGTGTTTCAAAGAGATACAAAATCTTCATGTGTCCTGTGCTTCAGTGAAACAACCGTAATAGAAATAAAACTCCTAATCTGAGATGTTCTAGGGTTATCTCTGAGGAAAGCTAGTCTTCCTGGGGCTGCCAATTGCAGATGAACTTGGTTATAAAATTCCTCTTTATTGCCACCTTTCCGTATCCCTGAGGTTAATTCTGAAATATGCATGAAATGTAATTAGTGCAGATCCATTTCTGCCGGCGCGTTTTACACAAGTGGCTGACAGTGGCAGACCTGGATATGTTCATACTAAAATGATTCAGTTAAATGTAATACCACTTGGTATGCAGCGTGAGTGTTGTTTGTCTTCACAGTACTTTAATGATGCACTGCAGTCTTTGGTATCGAAGCACTACCTGCATCTCAATGAAGAGCCACGGTTGCTATACGGGGGAACGCCTCTGATAATGTTTTCTAGAGCTCAGCCCAGACAGCATCTTTTATCTGCTGCTTGAGCTGCAAACCTTAGCGCACACTGGGTTCTGATATGGGGTATTGTCACTTCTTGCATCACTTTGTTTGGTGCAAATGAATGTTTAGAGCATGGCAGCAGTGCTACAATCTGATTAAAAAAGAAAAGGATAAAAAAAAAACCCAAAGAAAAGCAGCCAGTGATCTAGTTTGCTGTCAAAGCCATCCATCTGTGCCCACCTGTCTGAAAGCACAATTCAGAATCCTCTCCCTCCGGACAGAGTGTTTTCAGGTTAAAGCAACAAATGTTTCTTAAACACGTCTCCTAAAGCTGTAAGAGAAGTTAAGATTATTTTAAACTCTATTTACAAGAAGTTACTTTGCTGTTTCGTTAATGGGGACGCGAATGCAATCTCTTCATAGGAGCCTGTATGGTTAGCAATTACCCCTTTAAAATTTTTTTGTCAGCCATCACTCGGTGCTAAAACAGCTTTTAGAATCATTGGAGCTTATGCTGGTAAGTTGTAGGCTGAATTGTCCTTCCCAAATAGCTTTGGTGCACTTGAAATCTATCCTCTTCAAGCGTAGTTTGGATGTGGATCAGGCTCCGAAGGCGAGATCAGTATTTGAGAGTTTTTTCCTGTCTTGGGAAACTGAATCAAAATGCCACTTGCCAGCATGTAAGCAGAAAATTGGTTGTCTCGAGCTCAGTATAGATGCATCGTGCCGTAACAGACCAACAGTGGTGCAGGCTTAGAGCCAGGTGAGGTAATAGCAACCTTCTGCGAGACCTTCCAGGAACACGTATACAAACTCAGCCAGTGTTGGAGCAGATCAGGAGGAGATACAGGGCTTGGTCTTGATGTTGGGGTAAATGGGCTACTGAAGGGCATGACTTTCAGCTGTGGAAGGTAAGCCTCACTCCGTGCAATGGCTGAAGAAGTTAGAGAAAAAGCTGAGTCTTTAGCACTGGTATCCTACCTGGTTTTCAGCTACGACTGTTGTATTTTGCCAGTGCAAATCCTCTCCCATTTATAATTGACTAAGGGTTCTTCCTTTACTACTCTAATGCCTTAACAGATACGTATGCATTTATCGTGGCAGTAGCAGAAGCTCCCTGGGCAATGGACCAATTCCTGTATGGTTTCTGTTTAAGACTTCAAAGGGATTTGGAATATTAAGTATAAAATTAATTTTGTTATTAATAAAGTGTTACTTAGCAAGAGGAACACTGTTTTCAAGGTACATATGTTTTCAGTTTAGCTGTTGAAATTGAAGGCTCTGTGAGCCACAAAATTGGACTCAAAAGGAAAGGATGACTAATTCCCTTAAGACAGCAGCATCACTGGATGCTTTTATTTTGGGGACAAAAACATCTATAAGGATTTTTTAGTAGTGATATTCAAAAGTTAGACATGTGCATGAATTTGGATGACCAATTTGTTCTGATGTAACCCTGAAAAGTTAAATACCCAAACACAGACAGCAATCTGTGATACGAAATGCTGCCGAGAAGGCGATACCAACGCGGCAGCGCTGAGCAGCCCTTGACTTGGAGACCTGTGTCAGTGCTGGGCTGGCTGGCGGTTCTTCATCTCAATCTCTTCAGACTATACGCTTCTTTGGCCCTCTTACTGCACATTTGTCATGCTTAAAACAGGAGTAATGGAGAAGTTGATGTCTGTGAATGGGAGAAAGGGTACTTTTTACTTCAGGATTCTAAAATATCGCTGCGGACAAAACTCATGGAAAAAATCTTGCCCTTGCCAAATGGAAACACCTTCTGCTCGAATAGTCTGGGCTTTCTGTCAAAAGTATTCACTTGTGAAATTAAGCCTAAATTTAAAATTTGAAAAATTCCCTATTTGAAGTTGGGAAAAAATGGTGGTTATTGGTTGTTAGGAATCTTTTTGCTTGCTGTGTACCACTTATCAATGTCTCTCTTATTTCTGCATTTCCCATAACTATTGGAGAGGCTCAGAGAAACAAGGTAAGATGTTGCTGCGTGGTGATTTGGGAAGAGATGCTTAAATACCACAGCTAATTCTGGCTGCAATGAGCACCATGGATTTGACACGAAATGTTGCATTTTTAGTTCACTTTTCTGAAATTAAACATTTCTTCAAGAAAGCTTATAATAAAGTAGTACCCATGTGAAGGAGAACAGAATCATCTCAGAAAAGCTTAAAATACAAGTCTGGTAGTCTATTTAGATGAATCAGCCTCTTCCATAGAGCAAATCTGTCTCGTATCTATAAATGGATGTGATCTAGATTACAGATTTATTTCCCTTAGATATTTAGAGTAGTTAGTGTCTAGATTTAAACCTAATTTCTTGCCCTGTGGCTTGTGTTTTTTATTATTAAAGCTAGTTTTGCCTTTTAGCATCTGGAGCCATGCTTGGATATGAAGATGATAGGTACATCTAGGGCAGGTACCTGTGACACTTGCATTTTCTGGGCTGTAAATGCACACCGTCAATCACACTGGTGTATGGGCCTTTGATATCCCCTGCCCTGTGTTTTCTTTTCCCCTCTGCTATTTAGTCTTCTGCTCATTCAATTTTAGATGCTGATTTTCTTGAAATGAGCAGCATCTGTCTTCCAGTAAGTATGTCTGCTGAATTTGGCATGTTCAGTATCACCCATTGATAGGTACAGAATTGTATTATCTAGAAGTTACTTTCTTATCATACCGGAACAGTGCCACCACGCGCGGAGGGTCGGCCAAAGCGGGGCAATGTGCTCCGTTTCCACCGGCATGTACTGCAAAAACTGAGTTACTCAGTTAGGATACTCTCTGCCTGGTTTAAAAGGCAAGATTTAACTATGCAGTATACACAGAAAATTGTCTATAATTACCAATAAATGTATTAATAAAAATACCTATTTGAAATCGTTTAAAAGGAGGGGGAAAAACTTCTTATAATCTCTCAGCCAGAAAACTGGTCTTTGCAAAAGCTAGGAAGCGAGGCATAGAATTTAATGCTAAATTTAATGCTAGCGCCGCCATTCCAGGTGATCATGTCCTGAACGGCTCCCACACTGGCCATGGGTAAGTTTGAATAGGAAAGCCTTCAGAGAAGTAACCGGTCTGCTAACTTTGCTATGAAATGCTTGTTAGGTCAAGTAAATCTTGAATTTTACTGCTTTGGTAATCAAATCTCACAACAGCAATAATGAAACTTTAGTTTCTAGAAGTTGTCTGGAGCTGTAATCATAACTGTCCAGTTCTAAACCAATTTCCCCACCTTTCTTTCATATTGGGGTACAACCACGATTTCTGGGTCTGTTGTGCCTTTTATCTGACAATCGTGACATAGTCAGCAACAGAGCTTACATTTTTTGATGTCCGTTCTTTTAATTTATCTGTTTTTAATATTTTTCACCATTCCTTTATCGCTAGATGTGAACTTCTCTCTCATGCTCCGTGTTTAAATTACCTTGGATGAGTTGATCATAAGCCTCTGCCTGCTGGGTGCTGCCACAGAGGAGAAGTGGGGTCTCGGGAGGCAGCCCTGTGCCATTAAAACTTGTTCTAACATTAAAAACTTCTGGTAATGGAGTCTTCATTAATTCCTCAAATAATTTATTCTAGACCTATGTTCTCCTGAAAAAAGAAAAAAGCTTTTAAAAAGCTTTTTCTAATGTCCAGCTAGATGTTCCTTCCTGCAATCTGAGGTCCCCAATGCTTGCCTGTCCTCCCATGGTCACGGACCTGGTCCTTTCTCACACTGCAACAGCCTTCAGGTCATTGGAGATTGCTATCACATCTTTCCTCAGTTCTCTCTATGCTAAAATAATCACATACCTATGCCTTGTGGCTCTCCTTGATCCATATCTTTTCTGGATCTCTCTCCAGCACCGGACTGGTGTTGCGGGGGAAGCCTTACCAGTTCTAATACTTCACAAGTCTTGCAGATACGTAAATATATCCTGAACTTCTGGGTTTTGTAAAAGAATAACAGCTAAAATTTATCATGCTTTCCAATTCTGTCTCCACTGGCAGGGAGCACCTCTCAGATCCGTGTCACCAGATCCTTTCCATCATCCAGACGGCAAATGAAGTCAATGAAGGGAGCCAGACCTCTGCCCACCTGCTGGCACACCGTGACGTAGCACGACCTCCCACTTCGGCAGTAAATCACGACGACTATCCACCTGCTTTGCTTCTCTCCTATAATAGTTTCATCCTGACAATTAATTAGGAGAATGCCTGCCTAAAATCAAGATATATGAAATTAACTGCTGCTTTCTGTTATGTTGCTGTGAAAGGCAATGAGATATGCCTCGTTCTTGACGGTGAGTGATGGCCACTGCTCACCTCTTCTTACCCTTTGCTGCTTACCAGTGATATGGTTATATTATTCCTGATTATTTTTTTTCCGGGATGGAAGTAATGCTGTCATGTTTTTCTTTTCTCATCTCTTTTCTCCCTCTTCTAGCAGACAGGGAAAACAATTGCCTTTTCCAGTTTTCCTGCTACCGCGCTTTTTTCCATGATTCCTCAATGAGAATTGTTAAGATTTTGAGGTTCACTGCTCAGATTTTGAAAACATCCGATTATGACCTGACCTATTTCAGGGAGAGCTCTTACCCTTCTGTCATTGGTATTAGCCACCTGCTTGACATCTTTAATAAGACTAATTAAATAATCCATCGAACACTTTGGCCTTCTTGGCATTGCCAAAATCTTACTCTCTCTAATGAACCAACATTTTTCCCTGGTTTTCCTCTTATTACTCTTATCTTTGACTCTGGCAAGTCGCTTCTCACTGTAGTGTGCCTTGGAATTATTTTTGAATTATTTTTAATTTTTTTTTTTTAATTTTTGTCCGTTCATGCTTGTGTGACTGTTCTGTTCAGTGCTCTTGTTTCTGCTAGTTGCTCATAAAGCATTATATATATATATATATATATATGCATGTATGTTTAAAACCTTCTGGAATTAGTGATCTGTGGTGAGTCATGATAGTTCACATGATCTGTTTTTCCCTTTAACTTTTCCAGCGTATTGTTGAGAAAGTGCATAGTTTCTTAATATATGAGATAGTCTCTTTTCTCCCCCCTCCTTTCCTTTCTGAGCAACCTCTACCCTCTCAGTGTCCTTCAGTAATCGTCAGAGAGCTTAGAATGTGTAAGAAAATACCAAATCTCATGTTAAAAGGAATTTTGCTTATAATCAGAGTTTAGTTTTTGCACTGCTTGAGATGTTTTGAAGGGCAGAAGCAGTCTCTGTAATGTGGTAAGTATGAAGTATATTGCTTCTCAAATTAAGTAATTAAATAAGACCTTCTAAAGGGCAGCTTCACACTGCCTCGTTTCAATGACTTTTTTTACAAGTATACAAGAAAATATTTTTGATGGTTTTGAGCAGTTATTGGTAGAATAGATTATATTATATTTATGGCCTTAAGTGTTAAGATCAAACATTAGTTTATGATATAAAGTTTCTCCAGTTTAGTTGTATGCATTGGCTGCAAGAACCAAGATATTGCCTTAGGTTTGGATTGCATTAGGAAGAAATACAGGGTCTTGTCTTTTAAAAGTTCAGAGAAAGAGTGAGAAACGTTTGTGAAAAGAATTTGGAAGGTTTTATGGATTTACTTCCAGGAAAAACTCCTGAGTTATTTTTGCAATGGACAGCGCGGTGTGTTTTACTCGTGAGATGAAAATAACCCTGAGCGAGTACGAAGCATCTTTACACAAGCAGTGGCTCTGTCATGAGCTGCCTTGTAGAAGACTCACTAGGATGCCTCTTAAGTATCAAGTGCCTGACACAGTTTTATTTTATAAAAATAGGGCTATAACTGTGAAAGTACAATTAGAAATGACCCTTTCTGATGCATCGCAATATGATTTCTTGACTTTGGATTGAAGTCAGGTGATCAGACATGACTCCGATGTAAGTTTACAGCAAATGGTAGTAGGAGTCTGTCATCTTTCAGCAAGTTCATGTTCACTGACCACAACACAGAAAAGACACAATCGTGGTGGATTTTAAATGAACTTTCTCCTAACTTTTAAATCTGATCTTACCGATGAATTCTAAATGCAGCTGCTGTCTTCTCGGTCTCCCTGAACTTCACTTTCCAGGGGCTGGTGATTCTTTACTCAAGGTGTCGGTCATCTGAGAGAAGCAAACCTAACCACCAAGGAGCTTCTGTTAGACGTGTTTCCCAGACTGCGAGTGGCGTGTGGCTGTATTTCTGTGATGCTCTGCTTCACCCCTGCTGACGACTCCCAAGGAGCGACTCAGCTGTCTTCCCGGGAGCTTTAATAGCGTGGGATCAGAAATCTTTTTAATGAATTGAAAAGGGGGGAAAGAAATGTAAATCAATGCCAACTGCTCTGTGACTTGCATTTCAGATTTTAGTGTTTTGTAAGTTCAGAGCACGTATGAATGACATTATTGTAACAAAGACGTATATAGCAAGACTTTATATTTCATCACAGCTTCTGCTTTCCCCTAGGTAATTAGCTCAAACACAGGATCTACTGTTATCTTCTCGCTGACTGACAGTGGGCAGAAAATCAAACCGTTTACTGGTTGTCATGGGGATGCTGTGTTTTAGCACTGTGGCACTGGATGCGAGTGAGACAAGGCTTTTAACCGGGAGCACAAGTGGAACCATAAAGGTGTAGGAAAGATCGTCCTTCTCCTTTAGCCTCTCAAGGTATTGGCTTCTCTCGCAGTTTTACCCAAATACAAAATGTCAAAACAACAGTGTATTGTTTTCCGCTGCCTTGCTAAGAAAGATGTTGAAGCCATAACGCTGTTAGGAAAATGGAGTTTGATTTCATTGCTCGTTTAAAACCCTATACACATAAACCATGACATATAATCCTTGCTTCAAGGACTGTGCAACATATGGCAGAAATCCTGCTTTTCTTACTCAATTATTCCCCGTCAGCTAAATGAGAGAGGCTGCATCAGAAACCACACAAGGATCTGAGCTCAGTGGTTGTTGCTGCCCTTTAGTGCAGCTTTCTAGCAGTCCTTATAACATGCCATGCCCTACGTAGTATAAGACTCTTGAAAACCAAAGCAGGACATTTAGTTGGAGTACTCATCAGTTAGAGAGATGTGTCATCCACTGGTTAATACATTTGTCACTGCCAGATCAAGATTTTGAAATGGGAGCTATGCTGGTAAAGGTCGTAACCTGCTAGTTTCTACACTGGCAGTGTGTATTCAGATATTGGTGTGTTAAAAAGCGGTAACAATTAAACAGGTTTGTAATGTTCTCAAACATTTGGCCATGTTGCAAACCACCACGTGAAGGAAGCTTTAGTCTTGGACCTTGCCATATATGCTCCAGGTGAAAATACCAGCTTCACAAAGAACTGGCCAGTATATAGCACTGTTAATTTTTAACCTGAACACACACTAAACTCTGACTTACTGACCAAACTGAGTTCTTCAGAGGGGGCCAGCTCTGACACAGCCAATTTCATTTACTAGCTCTATAATAAAACACATCATATATAAAAGCAGATGCTAGCAGAAAATCTATATGCAGAGAGTTCACAGTGCTGCAGAGCAAAGGGTGGTAGTGGAAAGCGTGCTAGCTTAATAAAAGTAATGCACAAGTTCAGCAGCTGAGCTGGCCAAGGAATCAGTCTTGTGGTTCCCAGCGTGGTGCTTGCTCGCTAGACCGTGCTGTTGCTTAACTTTTCTGGCGATGCTTTAGAAAGTCATTAGATTTGGTTCCAAAAACATTGTATATCTGGCTTATCCAGGGGACTGGACAAAAGGACTGACTTAAGTCTACACAAACTCACTGAAAGTTGGGTGTATGCCGTGTAGCTGTAGGAAACAGGGCAGTCAAAATTGAATGTACCGGTTCAAAGTATTTCTGGTATCTGGGGGTACCTCACAGGCAGAAACTTCTCTATATAATGGCAAATTCTTTTAAATGTTTTTTTCTTGCTGCCTTGATCTCAGTCTTGTAACAAAGATCAAGCTAATGCCCTTCTATCTCTCCCCATTATCCGGAATGCTGATGCCGAGGTTAATGTGAATTACACTCTTGGCTTTGTCTAATAAGAAGTGCTCTCAGAGGAAGGTTACTTCAGAGAAGTGGGAAGCCCTAATAAATAGTAATAATAATATGCATTTCCTGGAAAAGAGGCTTGTCTTAAAGGGACATTAGGACTTGTCTAAATACAAAAGTTCTGTCTTGGAACTTTAGGTCTATTAGGTCTTCTATGTATTATACCTGTATTCCATTGTGACTTTTAAAAAGTAGCATTACAAAACCATAGCCCTATTTTAAATAGTTATAATAAGAAAAAAGCAGCTGCAACGGTGGTGCTCTTAAAAGAACAAACTAGGGGAAGTCCAAATTTTAATAAGAGTTTTAAATTAGTGTCTTGGAGCTGAGGTCAAGTGTTTCCAGTAGGGATGATATAGCAAGGGAATTCCTTATTTCAGTTTTTCTGTCTTGTAAATAAAACTTGAAGATGAAGCCTCCCTGAATCTCACTTACATAAAACAAATGCAACACCTTTGAAATAGATTCCTGCTATGAAATATGCATAGCTGGAATGCTAATAGGTGAAATGCATTCCAGCTTTAATGGCGAATACATCTTATCTGAAATTACTGTCAATATAAATTATGGCTGCATGAATTATATTACATTTAAAATGAGACGTACTACCAATATTTCCCAAAATTGCATCTTTTGAAAAGCTATTTTAATCTGTAGAAGCCAGACTGTAAATTAATGAATATCAGCCTAGGAAAAGCACATATTGGTGCGTGGCAACGTACAGACCCTATTTTATTGGGTTTTAGCATGGTGTTGGGCTAGTGCAGGGAAAACTCAGTTATACGTGAAAAAAAAAAAAAAAATCATTGCATAGAATGTGAGCGTGTTCGAGCACAGATGAGCATTGATCTAGGAGGGGGCATATCACTGACCTGAATTTTCCCTTAGTCCTTAGCCTACCCAATGGCGACAGGTAGGTATCTCTAAAGCCCTATGAGCAGTGATGGAGAAAACAGGGAGGCGTTAGGTTGGAGGGGTGTCTACAGCCCTCTGGAAGGGGATAGAGGCCCCAGGGACCTATCAATGCCGCTGCTTAGGTAGCAGAGTACTAATTACTATACCATTGGTTAGTATTCTAACTCGTAAGCCAAGCTGACAGTACCCTGCAATCCCAGACAGTGCGCATAGCCAGAGCAATCTATGTAACACATGCTGAATCTCATACGTCCCAGAACATTAGTTTTATTGCACACGAAATAGATGCTTCTGCCTGAGAGCGGTAAGTCTGTCCTATTCTGGAGATGTCAGAATTGCTGAATACGCATAGGATTACCTGAAAGAGAGAGGAGTTTCCTTCAAAGCATTGAATTGTGCAAACAGAAGCATGGGGATTTGGATAAAATTTACATCTTCTATCATATCGTTGGTTCATATCTGGCCTCACAGTTCTCTTACTGTCTGACTTCATGACCTGCAACATGAAATTTAATTTTTGTCTGTTTCCTCTGCCCATAAAATGGGGGATACTATCTGTGCTCCTTTCTTCTGTGTCTTGACGGAAGAAAATCCATAATGGGAGGTATGTGACTTAGTCATAGTAGTATGTGACTTAGTAATTCCTGTCACCTATTTTTTTTGCCTGTATCGTATTTGTTTTTGCTGTATTCCTTCAGTGCTTTATTGACTCTGAAATTACTAAAGCATTTTTCTGCTTTGCCTATACTAAGTGGTTTTTTTTCTTAATTAGAAGTTTGATTTCACTGTCATCATAAACTTAGTGTTGGAAAGAACAGAGCAGTTGACATCTCCCAGATCCTGATACTGAAGAGGATGATAACGGTTACATGTTGGGACAGGTACCATACATGTTACAAGAAAAAGCAGGAAAAGATATATTGTTGAAATGTATCATTTGCTTCAGTTTTTTTAAGATAAAAATCTATCAAAGTCTAATTTTCTCAAAGCTTACTAACTCACTGGCTGGTTGGCAACTCAGTGCAGGAAGAAGATTTAGGTCTGGCTGCACGTCACTGAATATTGCTTTAAAAGTTGCAGCACAGCTGAAGAAATGCCGTCCCATAACTCTTGCAAACTAAGGCACCAGTTCTGCACAACAAATCCTGTTTCAAGCCATGGGTCTGTCCATATTCAGGCTATTGTAAGATTGGTGCGTACAGCATAGGATTGCCGCAATATTGGCTTCCCAAGGCTTTGTTCTCTTTGCTTTATAGTAGAGAAGAAAGTGCACCTTAAAATGGTTCAAGGTCATCGAAGAACTGAAATTATAAAAAGCACTTTTCTGCTAAATTTTTATACCATTATTATGAAAAATATTGAGACATAATTTGCAAACATTTCAATTGTAAACTTAGAATTTCAAAGAATACAGATGTTGCTTTATCTGAAGAGATGACTTACGCAGCAGTTGTTCACTTTGAGATGAGGAATGGAGGGATAAATTGCTTTTGTCTCCTTTGAAACTTTCAAGACAAATATCTTTATGTGCCTTTTAGAATATAAATTCAGCAAGGAAAATACCCAGTTATGGCCAAAAGCATGCTCGATATAATGTATCGGCAATGCGCTGGAAATGGGGAAAAATGCCTTTTAGTACCAGGGGTGCATGCTACCTCTCTCTATATTTTGTGTTGTGTATTTATAGTACTTGCAGCTTCTATGTAATACCTCCCAGCTGCAAGGTGGGAACATACTGTTGCTGTTCACACATGCCTGCAAAATAATCATGGCTCATAAGTAGCTAAAACTCCCTCTGAACCTCTGAATCTGTGCTGCTTGCAATGAACCGAGAATAATATTCATTATTACATTGTTTTCAATTGAGACCTGGGTCTAAACTTCACCTCACCCAAATTCAATCATCTAAATGCTTGTCTTGATTTTTTTTTTCTTTTTTTTTTTTTTTGTCTCCAATCAGCATAGGCCGACTATGTTCTTACGTGGGTGGGATGAACTGCTCTCTGAAGAGCCATTGACCATAGTAGGAGACTGGGGAACTGGTTTAGATACAGTCAAAATACAGGTGACTAACAACAAGATGAAATGCATCCCTATTAGCTGTCAGGACGCTTTCTGGAACCATTCGAGTACTGAGATTCTGCCTGAGCTTTCTGGAGCCAGTCAGTCCCCCCGGGCTTCACGGTGCGCTAAAAGGCCAACGTCCTGGTGGCTTCTGCTTGAGAACAACTCATCTGTGTTCTCGGACGGGCACTCAAGGCTCTAACCAGAGTGACGGAGTTTGTTTTATTTTCTACACTGTCCTTTCAATGAGTTGTTGCTTTTTCCAATTGTAGATATGGCTTTGATTCTTTTAAATAAAGTTAAGTTTTATTTGGCATGGTGAGTAGGAAGTCAATGTTAATCTACAGACAATAAAACGTTGCTGTACTATGGAAAATATTGTTGCAGACGGACTGAATTCTGTTTGTAATCTGCACATTAGAAAGGACTGAAAGGCCTCTATTTTGGTGAAGATCAGTCTATTTTTCTTCCTACCAGGCTATTGAGCCTATCATTTTTCAGCTGGGATCACTGGACTGATTTGCCTTTTTTCCTTCCTAAAAACAAATGCTAAAATTAAAGAAAAGATTATTGTTGCTGATTATTTCTATCTCCTGTTTTTATTGGTAAAAGTCATCTTAAATTACCATAGGTAAAGACAGCTATCTGTTTTCCCTGATTGTAACTTTGCCATGTCCACGTGTATCCTATATAATCCTGCTATTGCAGTCCCTTGGGGAGATACAGATTTTACCGTCTGGTTCAATTTGTTTCTTTCCAATCAACAGATAAACAGAAATGGCAAGGATTGTATCAGTGCAGTGCTTAACTGAAATTTCCTTGGCTTTCATACAATTCCGTGCAAGTGCTGACATCTTCTTAAGCTCTGTTCGTTGGAAAAGCATCGACACCACTTCTTCGGGTGGTAAGACCTATGGACCCATGTTGTAGATCTGAATATCGTTTGAGGTTAGGATGTCATTGCACTTTGTAGGTAACGTTATGAGATACTCATATGGTTTTGTATATATTTGGGTCACTGTAGCTACAATATAAATAATATCACTGATGTGTCTGCTGATGATCTCATATATCCCGTAAGGCTGGTACTGCTGCAGGCTGGGGCAGTGTTCAGCGCGGGTGGGGAAACAGTATTTGTGGCAGTTACTGTTTTATCCTTTGATTTGTCAGCAGACAGCGTTTTTATGGCAACTCAGTTCAAAATTCGGTTCAACCTATTAGAAATAATAATCATGTTTAAGACAATACTGATAAAACACTTCTCTGTAGTAGTAAGGCGTGACTAGATTAATTTCTTTGTGACTGGTTTATTTGTGCATCTTTTATGAGGGTAATTACAGCCTTCCACCTGAACAGCGTGAAGCAATTTTCTGCTCAAGCTGAAGAAGGGAAAGGGGGGTCGATATCAGTATCATACCCTCCGTACTGCATTTTACTGCCACGTACTCTCGTTACAGATAGCAGAATGTTTATTGCCTCGTAGATCAGCCAGAACGTGCCCTCGTTATCACACGAGGCTGGCTCTATCCCCGCGCGGGAGGACCCAGGCGCTGGCTGGTGGCCAAGCTGTATGACTTACCAGACGTGACCAAATCGGATCATTTCGAGAGTCAAGGACAAATGTATGTTTATATTGAGCTTGTGTACCGTGGACAAGTTTTTTTTCAAAGATAAGTATTTTTTTTTTCCCCCCAGAGGTGTGTAGGGACTGAAAGGATAGTTGGGTTCGTATCATTGTACAGGCATCAAAATAACATTTTTTGTGCAGTAAATATTGCTTGAAAGTACAATGTACACACAAAGAATTTAAAAAAAGATTTCAAATGCAGTGCTATATGTAATCTTTACTCCTCATTGATTTCATTTTGAATCAGTATGTTTTTAGCTCTTTAAATAACTCACTGGCTTAGTTGGCACGTGTTCCTTAGCAGCTCATTGTAGCAGAGATAGCAGGTAAAACATTTCAGCCTTTAATTTAGATGCTTTTTGATACTGAAGATTGCAAGTTCAATTTTTGCTAATAGAACTGGCAATTACACAGGCACTGAGGGAAGACACGAGCCAAAGCTTGTGCCAGGAACTGAAAGCCCTTGAGAATGTACCTTATTACTGGCCTAATAGGGGCAGTGAGAAATGCCTCACTCCTCCCCGTTTCTCCCATCCTCCCGTCTCAAAGACTGAAGGAATCAATCCGGGCAGGAAACTAGTTCAAAGTCTACAGGCAGTCAGCACTGGGCATTTCTGAGATGTTCCCAACCGTGAACCTTGTAATGCAAGAGCTTCGCGTTCACGCCACAACTCTGCATCGCCCTTAGGTGATACACTGCTCTTCTTCCCAGATGAGAACCTGACATGAAACCTCTTCCCTTCCAAGGCGGGGGTGATATACAGTGATATACAGAACAGCAAAAGCCTTAAGCCCCATTTCTCACTTTCTTAGGAGACCTTTACCAGTATTTTAATAGTCTGATCTTTATAAAAAGCACTTTTTTTTCCTTTTGTTTTTTTTTTTGCCCCCCAGTGACCAGCGTTCCACCCATATAGGAATGCAAGTTCTGTCACCCTTTTTAAGGTGAACTTTCATACAGCACATGTATGTATTAGGTTTGGTAAGATTTTTTTTTTTTTCCCCCTGTAAGTTTGGCTCAAGATTGGCTGATTCATTTAAAGTTAGTGTTGTTTAGTCCGGGGAGCTATGTTGGAAGAGTTGTTTGGAATAGCAGTATGGAAAATGTCTACCTTAAATGTCTGCACTTCAATCCTTCAAAGCCTCTGCAATCCAAATCAGGAGAAAAAGCAACTTAGCCAAGTGATTTTGTTGAGAACTGGAGGTGACATGCTATATTTTCCTGTACATACAATATCCCGGGTGCTACTAAATTACTGATAATTGAGTGTTGACTTGGTGGGGGGGGATTATTTACGACTTTATCCTGTCAGAGTGACAAAAGGCAGCCTTGAGGTGGTGCTCACTCTGTTCACCTCCACACTTTCCATATATTCTCAAGGCTATTGCTTGTGGCTACTGTCACAGACCTACCTCAGCATTTTCATACCATTACCTTCAGCAAGGAGCATTCCCTTAATTTCTGCCTTGTTTAGTTCTAGACTATAAATAAGTCTAACTGCTCATGAAACTGAGTCTTGCAGAGCCCTACCCTGGAGGCTACTCAAAACCTGACAATTTCATTGTAAGTCTAACTGCTCATGAAACTGAGTCTTCCAGAGCCCTACCCTGAAGGCTACTCAAAACCTGACAATTTCATTTGTTTGACAGTCTTTACAGACTAACATCTAATATATAATAATCATTATGCCAGTTGGAAATCTGTAATTATGGCCCACACTAAACTGTAGCACAGTAGACGAGAAATAATGTCGAGTACTCCACTGAAGGAAGTGTACTGAGAGAATCTGTCAAGCCATTTTCTCTATATGATTCCTATTCTGGCTCCTTCTCCCCAACTCCCCAGTCAGTATGGTGGGAAAATAAATAGAGATATTTATGCCCATTTCTAGGAATGCAGTTGTCTCAACACACACAGCACCCAGGAGGGCTGTAAGAAATAAATTAGTGATTTACTGCGTGTATATGCCAGCTAGGATGCATATCTGTTTGACTGCTTCTAAGGAGCTAAATATTTTAGATGAGGAGGGCTTGCAACACTGTGAATGTCGCTGATATGTCAAAGGAACAATAAGCTTATTGAGCTTTTAGGGGTCTATTCTTCAGCCCGCTGCTGATGCCGGTATCCTGGGTAAGCTGGTGTAGAGTTATTGCCAACGCTGCTGGGGAGCTGGTTGTTGCAGCCCTGGGGCTCCCTGGAAAAGGTGATGATCCTGCAATCCCACAGACCCTCTCCAGAAGTCATAAACCCAATATTTAGGTGATCTAAATTCTCCATCTCTGCTGATCTAAAAGGAGCAAGAACAATCGATGTTAGCTAAGGATCTGGCCCTGTAATTAGGCAACGCTTTTTCTGTTTAGACAGCTGCTCGTGTGTAGACAACTCATTGATGTAGTGGCTGGGATGTGCAAATGAGGTAGAGACTGTGTTTTGTGCTCATTAAAGAAGGCACTAGGAATCTCATATGGCCACCATCTGCCGCCTTGTTTGTTGAGTTTGATCATTAGTCAATGAATGGTCCTACTGAAATTCAGTGATTAATCTCCGGGATATGATTCTCTTTATCATGATGAAGGATGGCAGAATTTAGCTCATTATAATAAAATTGTACAATTGTGCAAGTTCTCTTCAAAAGAGATTGGGATTCATAAAGCAGTTAAATACAAAAATGAGAAAATTAGCTGTGAGTTTTTGTAATGCTTATTTACAAACACAAGCTCCTTGATAAAAGCTGGGAATATCTCTTGTAGATACGCAGTGACTAAAACAGCAACGTGGTTGTGCTTAAAGAAGGACTTCTAGAAGGCACACAACGTCTGCAGGCGATTTTAATGACACACCGATTTCAGCAAGCTATTATGAGGCTTTTCTTCCTAGATGTTAGAAGGGATATTTCATTGACAGGTGTTTTAAAGTATTTTCTGTACACTGGCTTGGCTCAATTTGTCTATAATGAATTAAATGAGTTTTAGGGAAAAGGAGGGTTATTAATGGCCCTGATTTATTAAGTATGTAAGAGTCTTTAATTTTCTCTTACTAAAAAAAAAACCCAGTTCAGAGACCTTGGAGTTTTTAATTGCATGTTGGAATAGTTTTTCAAACAACAAAACATTAAGTCTTGTTATGGATCCATTTCACTTTTTATGCGAAATGGTTTGATCATAACTGATACTGACAGGGAATTTAAATAGTCTAAATCCAGCCTGGCCACAAACGTAGAATCATAATATGTACAGATTTATAGCCCATGAAATTGCTCTAAAGTCAGTGAGGTTGCATAGGACATACGTCACAGCACATTTTGGTTTTGTACTGGTGTCTTCAGCTGTTTTCTATCTTGAGAATGTAAAATATATTCTCTGTTGGTTTTACTGGGCATTCTTTGAATCTGCATCACGTCTACAAAAAGATTTGAAAAGCTGCGGATTTATTTACTATGTTTGAAGAAATCTGTTCATAGGGCTATTGATTTTTTTTTTTTTTCTCCTGCATCTATATGCAGTTTCACCAGTTACTTTCACTCCTATAAAGAAAACTGTTTACACAGAGATTTACTTTGTATTACAGTATTCATGAATAGAAAATAAAGCTTAAATTTCTGAAAGAGCATTTTTTGTGCTGTAACTCTTTTGCATTTTGCATTGCTCAGGGAAATGAATGCTTCTAGCAACCAACTTGCAATACGTATTTCATGTGGATGAAATTTATTTGCAGATTTGTCCCATTCAATATTTAAAAAGTGACTGGAACGATGAGTTCGTGCACAGCAGAGGCTGCTTCAATGCAGAATTGTTCAGCCTGCCTATTTGGCCACACGTGTGTTAGGAGGAGCGTGGAAGAAGCCGTGTTTCCTGCGGAAGCTTTGCAGTACCCTGGGGAGGCAGCTGATGGCAGGGCGTGATGCTCCTGCTGGAGTTGGATCCATGATCATGGCTTCTGATACAGTGAGTCAGCATCTCCTAACAGGTCAGGAGGTATGGCAGGAAAGTATGGCATCTATAGGTAGAGCGGAAGGAAATCAGTCCACTGTATCTTTTTTGTTCTCTAATTCGAGAGGACAAGTGCAAAGGGATTGGGTTTTACTTGTGGCTTTTTTTGTTGTTGTTTGTTTTGTTTTTAGCAAAGGGAAAAATGGAGCAAAGCTTCAAACGTCAGGTCTAAGCTATCGAGTGAAGTCCACGGGAGCCCTTTTACTGACTCTCACGTTCAACCAGGCAGCTAAAGAAAAACTATTTCCCCCTCCCACCCACCACAACAAGAGACTAGCAGAAGGGGACTTTTCCATATCGACCCTCCAGGGCCAGGACCACAGGCAGTGAGCAATGGTTCTCGGGAAGCTTTCAGGCTCCTCCTGCCTGTATTCAGATAGCCGGGTGTTTTCTGTTCCGACCAGGACTGCTGTCTGCGTCCCCCTCGGAAGGTTCCCAGCCCACTCCTTCTGTTCAGCTGCACCAGCTCTTTCTGTGGAAGGCTGGAATATCTTAGGAACAACTTTTCCCTCTTTAGACAGTACTTGGGTAGACATATGAAATACAAATAAAAAGTAGCTGTGGTACGGTAGTTATTCTGGCTTTTAAAAACAGCACTTTTAAGAACTGCCATGGTAGAAAGAAGTACTATAGCTCTACGGATGTCTCAAGGGAGAGATGTGCTTGCTTTCTTTCTCTCTTTTTTTTTTTTCTTTCGGGAAAAGGATGACAAATGATATATTTATACATAGGAGAGTGCCTATTTGAAGACTACAAGAAATCATTCAAGCTTCAAGCAACTCTCTGCTCCATACTTTCAGGAAGCAAATCAGCAAATTGAAAATCTTGCCTTTCACAGGAAGGGTGTTACCAAAAAGAAATACAAGAAAAAAGGCTGATGAGGATGAAGACACAAAGAAAAGCAACTCCTTTTCTTGAAGAGGAATCTCCTAATTTTGTTACGGAGGATAAATAGTAATTTTACTTGTAAGTAACTTATAACAAGTGGATTTATGCAGCGGTACGCTTTAACCTATTATGTCAAAATTGGACAAAAAGCCAAAAAATATAGGACACTTCAGACCCAATTTTCTGGAAAATGTTGGAAGACTTCAAGATTTTATGTTAAAATAAAACATTGAAATTGTCTCCAATTTGAACCATTTCTTTGTTAACGTAACAGAAATTATATTTTAAGTAAATTCATGTGCTTGTATCAAGTTTTTCATGCTTTGCTTTCCCCATCCTCCAGTTAGGAACATGGATTCATGCGATGTGCAAAGAGCAAATGGAATTTTCCGGCATCGCCTAGATGTCAGGTGCTGAGTGCATCTTGCCTATGTGCTAGAAAGTGTCTCCTTGAAATGTAAGGGGATGGTGTAGTGTCATGCCTGTTTGCTTATATAGTGTACATGGCTTTATGATTACATTTATACACTCTATTTTCTCAAAAATGATGGGTGGCTTGTTAGATGCTATTACGAAAGATAATATTTAGTCCTGCTGACAATACGTATTAATCTTTATTGCTTTGGTATGCTTTTAAGCATTTCATTCTTCAATAGCCTTCTGTAGCATGGACTATACAAAATACAAGCAGAGTAAAACGCAATTGTACTAAAATACGTCCTTGCATTAAATTTTCTGAACATAAAATCTTGAAACGTTTACAGGATGAAAATACTTTTTAGATAGCATTCACAAATTTAATCTTAGCAATACCGTCTGAATCATCAAAATGAATTAAAATTGAAGGTAATTTTGTTATATGTGGGGTTATTTCTATATGGGATAAAGTATTTGTTAAAGACTGAACAGCAGATAAAAAGAACACCGAGTGAAAAACATTTTTAATATACTTTAAATCTAGACTCTAATTTCAGAGCTGTCCTGGTTTTGGCTCGGATAGGGTTAAATTTCTTGCTAGTGCTGTGTTTTGGATTTAGTACGAGGAGAATGTTGATAACACACTGATGTTTTCAGTCGTTGCTAAGTGCCCTCCTAGTCCAAGGACAGCTCCCATGCCTACTGACTGAGCTAGGTACACAAAGTGGGAGGGAACATCATCAGGACAGCCAGCCCAGCTGGCCAATGGGGTATTCCATACCATGTGACGTCATGCTCAGTATATGAATGGTAGGCGTGATCCAGGAAGTACCGATCGCTACCTGGTTATCGGTCAGCGCGGGTGGTGAGCAATTGCATTGTGCATCACTTATTTTGTATAGTTTATCATTATTATTCTCCCTTTTCTGTTTTATTAAACTGTCTTTATCTCAACTCACGAGTTTTTCTCACTCTTACCCTCTCCTCTCCCCGTCCCACGGCGGGGGGGGCGGGGAGTGAGTGAGCGGCTGCGTGGTATTTGGCTGCCTGCCGGGTTAAACCACGACAAGAGCATTCCCCCTAGATTTCACTCTATGAAGCAGTTAGAAACCAGACCTGAACTGGACCCAACACCGTCGTTTTTAATATTCTGATAACAAAATAGCAAACTGCTAAATAAGTGCCATTTTGTGGGTCTGCATTCTTCCGAGGCATTGCCATTTTTTGCCTCTTCCCAACCGTGTAACCAACAGGGAGAGGTGCCAGCCCCTTCTTCCACCTCCCAGCCCAACGGGTGCCTGGGGAGACCTCTTTAGGGAGGGGACGGCAGAGGGGGTTTTGTCTGAGTTTTAGAAGTGCCTAAAGATAAATAGATCAAGTTGTTCCACTTTTGGTACATTTTTACAAGCACATGAAAAAGAAACTGGCTTTTGCGTGTTCTTGTAGATATTTTACTAGAAAGTGGCCTTATGAGGGATTCTCTCTTTTGTTAGAGCCAGATTCCTCAGAAATAGTGCTTTTAGTAAAAATTGCTTTGGGATCACACCAACATGTCCTAGTTTCCAATTCTGCAGTGATGTGAGGCATTTCTGAGACTATGTTCTTTTTTGGAGACGTTTATGGTAATGTATAAACCTCTAGATCAGTTAATTTTTACATAATTCAAACTTCATTAAAAAAAGATGATTAGGAGCTCACTTTAGCAAGTGAGCCAGTGAATTTCTGGCTCACTTGCTGAACATCTAGCTTGTATTTGCACGACGAGTGGGTTGTTTCACATGTGATTTGCAAATAGCTATCTCCCTGATCTGAAGCCCTCCAAAATTGTGAAGAAACCTCCTCTTGGATTTAAAGGGCTTTTGATCTGACCATAAATTACTAGAACTAGTTCTGTTGCTTATGCTCGCTGAGACAGAAGTGCACAGAATTGCAAACACATTTGTATGTCCCATCCCTTCATCCTATTGTGGAAACAGCGGCTATTCCTGAAAAGGGGGGCCATCTCAGGGTGAGCAGAGAGTACATGTTACTCTCTGGATTTTCTGTTTATACTTTAGCCAAAAAGTGTTTCATTTTTCTGGGAAAAATTCACGGAAGAAAGAAACTTTCAAATGCTAAAACAACATGAAGCAGTGAAGTGGTCAACTGCTATTTTGACATAGTTTCCCTAGTTACACGTATGTATAAGCACATTCTGAGAATATTCTGGGGTTGGTTTTTAATTTGTCTTTTCAGAATGGATAAAACAAAAGAATAAGAACCTTCCCACTGAAGGACAGCTATAGTTTCAAACCTCTTTCTTCAGCCATGTTATAAAAGGTATCTATCTAAAAGCAGAGCGCTACTTAAGTGTTCTTGTGGCTGCTTAAAGCTTGCTACATAGCTGGCAGGCAATAAAACTTTTATTCTGTGTTCTTCCCTAAAGGTCTGCTTCATGTCATATTTATATACATATATACATATATAACTATATAAATATCTTAAAATAAATATATAAAATGTACGTATATAAAAAAATATCCCCCCCCCAAATGCTTTTCAAACACGGATGAATCTCAGTTCTATAGCTAAGAAAAAGATGGAAGCTCACAGCGTGTGTAACATCTAAATGTCGACATTGGCAAGCAAACGGTGGATAGCTGCTCCCCAGATCAATAGGTACAGATTCCTCCTGTGAGCCTGACCTTGAGGGAGATGCTTGCATTCAGTTTGCTGTGCTTGGGGAGCCCGTGAGTGATGTGACTTGCAGCCAGGTACAGATTTATTACAGCTGTGCCACAGACATTTTTGCTTTTGATATGGGCCCAACTGGCTCTCCTAGTATCACTGTTTCAAATGACATCTTAATATTTCAGCAACAAATGAAACATAGCACGTGCATTTTTCTTGGTACAGACTTGTTTTCACAAAACGAAGTAGTAATTAGCACTATTAGTTATCCTCAAGAGGCTGGCCCAATTTCTCAGCACTTACTGTACCAGCTGTGTTCATCTCATTTAGGAAGGATCCCATCTAGAGCAGGCAGAGTTTGGGCTTTCTAACTGAAGTGGAAGCTGGTTTTAGGAAAGAAAGATAACTTTTTCCCCCGATAAAAGATAGTAAAGAATTAACTGTGTCTTAAGGAGCAAAAAATAATCATGTTTTTATCCTACACATCTGTTTAGAGGTCCTGAACATTTTTTGCCTGTAACTATATTGTCTGCCTGGTAGAGTAATATTATGAAGATTAGATGGGAAAAGTTAACTCATCATAGAAGCACAATTGCATTTGGTTTTTCAGTAAACCTGGATTTTTAAGGTGTGCTTAAGTCATTGAATATTGGAGCCCTTAAAGAGATTGATGGCACGAATGAGCCTGACTTTGTTCTTCTGCCTGAGAAATACTTTAGGGAAAAGACAGAGGAGTGGAGCTCTGAAAATCTGAGTCTTCCTAGCCTGTTGGAAAATAAGTAGACCTTCATTATTTTCTCATTATTCCAGCTCTCAGCACAGAAAGGCAAAAAATAAAGGTCACTAGATTTTACCATCTGTGCTAAAATGAGATGAAGGTAATAGAAAACTCCAAGATTTATTGCTTAGCAGCTGATTTGAGGCTTCAAGTAAGTAGTAAGACATATAATCCTATCTCAACAACTTCTTACTTTGTAAGGGCATGTTCCATAACCCACTGAATTTGACTGGAAAAACCAGAACTTCTTTCATCAGGCACTGGCTCAGGCTTTACAGGTTAATTGAAAAAATGAGTCTAAAATAATAACTTCTGAATTTGTTTGACAGAAGAAAAAGGATTTTAATTTGTGAACAGATTTTTAAAAAATACATCCAAGAGTATGAGAAGGAAATAATATTTGGATATTGTACCAGATGACTTCTGCCCAGGTATGATGTTTAATGAGATGAGAGACTTCCCGCAGTCCATTTGGAAAACATAAGCTTCATTCAACTGTCAAACAACTGAAGATGGGAGAATGAAAGCTGGGCAAGAGGCTGCTTCAGCTAACTTAAGAAATAATTTTCTCCTTGGTGTAGTTACAGTCAAAACCCAGCAGCATCAGACAACTCCTCATTTCCAATGCTGAATGTGTAAGTGCCTGGCGATGGCTTAATTGGCCATTAAAATAAATTTTTGATGAAACGGAACAAAGTTGGAAATGTTTTGAAAGTCAACATAGTACTAAAAAGAAGGCTGGAAAAACCCAATTGCTTCTGTACTCTGTCTTTACCAAGCACCTTCAGACACAATGTTCTGCTTCAGGTGTTCCTACTAAACAAACAAAGTCCCAATAAAATGCCAGCAGTATCAGCCTCCTTAAAACAGGTATTTGCTATCTAGGTGTCGACTTGGTTCAGAGACACCTTTCACTGTTCAAGCCAAGCTGGCTCTTGGCAAAGTTTGTATAACTGCTTAATTTGATTCATTAAAGAAGCTGACTTGTGCATTCATTAGTGTCTTTGCATTCTTGATGAGCTTTTCTGACGGCTTTGCAATTGGCTTTGCAGTTTCTCCCCATCCTTTAGAAAACCTCGTCTCAAAACATAATAGCTACCAATCTGACTATGGGATGAAGGATACGTGACACTTATAACCATGCACGCTACAGCATTCAATTGATCGTAGTTTGTAGATAGGAGTATCAGCTATTCGAAGGTCAGTATTTGGTGCTCTTCTGTGAGACACTATCAGCTTTCGGTGAGATGGATAGCAAAGGTCAATAGCTAAGCTTGGGGAAAGAAATGAGGTGAAAGAACCAAATTGTGTTAGACACTTTGCAGCTGACTCAGCAAGGCCAAATGTGCAATCTTTAAATTAAATACTTTGAAGCTGAATTAATTGTCTTATGAGTTTCAGGTTTTTTAATCAGGTGCCTGTTTTCATCTGACCAAGGGATGTTATTTCTCAGTAAGGATTTCACGAGCGTTGTCTCTCACTCCCTGTCTCTCCCCACCTCTCTCTGCTTTTCCTGTGAAAGGCAAGGTCTAAAATACTGTGCTTTTAATATAAACAATTCCAGCATTTCAGAACTTTCCCACTATTTGAGCTTTAACTATCCAAAGCTCATCCTCGTCAAGCAAAAGAATAAGTCTTGCACTTCCCGCATCCCTGTGAGTTGCTCAAAATGAGCGATAAATGAGAGATAATGCCATAAAAATAGCGTGGGCAGTGCAATTTTAAAAGCAAAACTTGAATGAAGTGTAATTGCTATGTGTGAATACCACCATTATCAAACTACATAGGCACAGCTGTTAGTAAATCTGTATTTTATTTCTAAGTGGACTTGGCTTCTCAGTGACCACTGTACAGAGGGAACAGCTGGATTGTTAAAACAAATCTCTGTCACGTCGGTCCAATTTGTGCCACTGAGTATTTTTAATGTATTGTGGGCACAGTTATACCTCAAGCACACTGATTATTAAGAATTTTTCCTGTAATGGCTGTGCTGTAGGCATAGGCACTGTGAACGGATTTGTTGTTTGAGGCTTTGAACCATCCCTCATTAAAACCAAGAGCAGCACTCTACTGCCTTTTGGATCAGGGTATCGGTAAATTGGTATCAGATTCTTTTTGCAGCTAACTTTAACAATTCCTAGTCAAAACTGTTCACATATAAGTGTGTGTTTAAATTGCTTTCTTATATCTGAAATACCAATTAAGTATTAAACCCTGGTAATGTATTAATCAGCTTTTTTTTTTTTTTTTGAGCTTAATGTATCTTTTAATTAATTGAAGCCAGAAATGCAGCTTACATCTTTAAAATTCTAATCCTTTAAGTCACTGCAAGTTTCATCCTAAGCTTACGGAAATCAATAGATAAACTCCTGTAGCTTTCCCGAGAGCTAAGTACCTGTAATTATAGCTGTAAGGTAAGATTGCACAGTTTGGACAAAAACTTGTCTTGAATTTTTTGCTTCTTGGTTTCCTGCACAAAGGGTATCGTTTCCTGCCCAAGCAGTAATGAGCAGGGCTCAGTGAGTATTGTGTACCTTTGATTTTGGTTTTTTTTTTAATGCTATCTACAGTGTTAACAATCACTTGGGAATAAAATTCTGTCTGTGCCTCCTGGATTCATAGCTTGTTAAACGCAAGTGAACTTTCAGCTTAAATGGTTGCAGCAATTTTGATCTCTGCAGCTCATCCATGTTCTGATGAGCTAATGCTCATCATCTTGTTAACAATATACGAGCATATGAAATTCTTAACAAGTTAATTCCTCAGGCCTCTTTCCCAAAGAAAGTAGTACAGACTTCCAGCCTACACTGCTCAAATGAGATACTATCAGGTGTCATAGTAACAGCTCACTGAATATCATTTAATTCTTATTCATGAACTAGTCTGACTTTAGTGGGAGAGATATACGCACATGAGAAGAAAGAATCTTGTCCTTAATCTGGGACTGGAGGAATCCCTGAAGATCAGCCTGCTGTGTACATGTAAATAAATGGTTGCAGGGTAAACCTGCTCAGTCATGCAGACGTTCAGCGAACAGTTTAAATGCTCTTGTTTCAATAGAAAATAATTTGATTTTTTTTTTGAGTCCTTAATGTCAGGATAGAAGTTATAATAAATTAAAAGAATGGAGATTTGGAGAAGGAAAAAAAAGAGGGAAAAAAAAAAAAGCCAGTCTAGTCTCCCTGAGCCGAGCAGGGGATTTACTTTTTCACAGAACCTCTGTGAAGAAGTAAAAAGCAAAGTTCTACTCGACACTGGAAGGGTTTTGGTACGGGCAGCACGTACAGGGAGGGGGGCCTCTCCCTTTGGTTGATTCAGGATCTCCAGCTAGTTTTAATACAGTGATTTAAGTGGGGAAGAAATAAAATATAGTAAGCAGTTGCAAAAGCACCAGTGAAGGCACATTCCCAGGGATTTCTCCCTTGGGATTGACTGGGTTTGACTTCAGTGCCCAACAAGGTGCTGGCTCTGGCTGAGGACTTCCCAGGAATGGGGGCATCTCCAAAGAAGGGCTGTCCTCCCCTGCTCTTTTACTGGCACCAAAGTTACCCTGCCGTACCTCTCCAAGGGAAAGGCTTTTTCTCCTCCATCCAGTCCATCTGTTCTCCTGTTTTGCAGGATTTAAGTCCTCTGACATCTTCACTCTTCCATCAGGTTTGTTAGACCTGGCCAATAAACTCAAAGAGTGCAAGGGAGAGATGGATACAGCGCAGTCCTCAGGGCTGCACAAGCCTTGGTTCCCTAACTGGGAGAAAAATTACCAAAAAGCTAAACTTGTCAGCAGAACTGGAAGCAGAAAATTCAGTGTTGTTCTCTGTGAAGTATAGTGCTTGAGGTATGCCTCTTCTATTTTTTTCCTCTTCCAGCAGCCTGATTTTCGCAGTGTACCTCACCAAACGTCTAACTGATTTTGATGTGGAATTCATTCCTGTTTTGTAGCCTTGAAAGTTGTATTTGATGAGAAGAGCCCATTCCCACAAGAAATTCATGATCATGAACAAAAAGCAAGGCAACTCTGTGAGCGAGTGTGCAGTGAAGGCAAGATAAAAAGAAATAAGAAGCAAGCAAAGCTGGAAGAAAAATAAACCTCCTCTTACAAATGAAGGTGTGTATAATGAACACCATCTACAGAGTGAAACTGCCTTTGCTACATGCTATTAGTTTTTACAATGCACTCCGTTTTTTCTTAGGGGCAACACTTTCAGCCATTACTTGGGATCTTGTCCTTACACAGCTCTTAGGTCTTAACTAGGATCCCATTTCTCTAGCTTGTCCTGTGTTTTTCATCAAAGTAGCTGAAATCAATGAGGTTATTTTTATGCTTTTTTTGTCTGTTTTGAATCGTTTTTCTGACTGAAGTCCAGCTGAAGTTTCTAGGCATTCGGATGTTCTTGGAGTGCTTTAAAACTGAGACTAATCAAATCCAGATCTGATTTACACCAAATAGTTTGGGTCCAGTCAAGTTATTTGTCAGTTAATTACCTTCTCCCAAATTTAAGGTTTTCTCTGAGTTTCATGTTCTAACCCTAAAAAGAGGAATGCAAGTGAGAGGCCAGAGAATAATCTGATGTTTGCAGCAAGTATGTGCGTCCCCAAGGTCTGATACTCATTAATTCAGATTAAGTAAGTACTGACCCCGAACTTGATCTCACACTTCTACCAGACATCCCTTTGTATCTGTGAAGCCATATGCAAATGACAATTAGCAGCTGAGCTGGATGCTTGATTGGATTAGGTGGTGCCAAAACATTAATCATGACAATCATGGCTCTTTTTCCCTTGGACTTAAAAATGAAAAAAATATTTCGTGTTTCTTTGGATATGAAAAAACCCCCCAATATTCTGACGTTGTTTTACTCTAATCTCCTTTTCGAATCTGAAGGGCAAGAAACCTCTATAGACAACCTAATTTCCTACATTTTCTAGCTTAACACCTGTTCTGGATAAATTTGGGGAAAGTAATTGACTATTCAATTGCTTGCCTAAACTGACGGAAATGTTTTAAGAGGTACTTTTTCTAAAAACTCAAGCCCTAATTCATTCTCCACCGGGAGTTTTGCTATTCATTAAGGAGCAAGGTCAGATTATAGGAAGAAAACAACGAGCTGGTTTCCAAACTCAGATGCAGCATCTGCTCAGGAAATACTGCTCTGTGCAGTATATGGTTGAGTGTTTGTCTTATAATTTCTATTGGAAAAATATTTTCTCACTATTAAGTGGACTTCATTCAAACCAATTTACATATCTTACTAAAATAATGTTAGTATTTTGGCTCATCCTCAAGTTTAAGTCAATCTGCAAAATATCCTGTTGTGGAATAATTTGCATGTGTAATTTGCCAGACCAAATCCTGCAAAGATTTGAGACGTTAGTCACACTGAATTCAGTAGGACTATTCAGGTTTACATATGCTTTTAAAAAAATAAGTCTCAAGTGCATAGTCATTTACAAGGTCAAAACTTGTTTTTTCCAGTATCATGTAAATTTTAAAGTAAAAAAAAATCTCCTCCTACAAGAGTATAGTTGCATAGTAACACGATAATGGGTAATATCAAATATGTGTTAATTAATTCAGAGCCATTTTAGTACCTAGTCGCACGGATATAAGAATCAGTGGACAAGGTCACAAAGTAAAGCAAGCTGAGGAGGGTTAAGTAATTAAGCCAAAGACTTGAAGAATAGAACTTTAAATTTTTGTTGTATTTTTTTTTACCAGAACTGTATCTCATACCTTCTATCTGTGTTTTCTCTGACAATTTTTTACAGGTCTCCTGTATTATTGCCTTAATGACTTCAGGACCTCAATTACAGGCATACTAGATGCTTGATGCTTTCTAAGCGGTGAAAAATTATCCTTGCTCTGAGAAACTCTAATCCTAAGTTAGATAATTAAAATAATCAAATGGCATAGTGAAATGAAACAAGCAGTTCTTACACGAGTGTGCAGGCAGGTTTGTAAACAGTATGGCAAAGATCAACAGGAGGGTCTTAACTGGGGGGTAGAAGCAGATAAGCTTTGGCTGGCCACTGTACGGTTAGAGGGTGTGAAAAGGCAGAGAGATGATTATTATGAAGGGTGACAGAAAGATGTATCTGCCAGCACAGCGGGAGCAGAGGGTACTTTCCCTTTTGACTGCTTGATGCTCACACGAAATGTTTTCTTCTTCATATCAGTTAAACTTAATTTCAAACCTGAGGAGTTTCAAGCAGAGGCCAATTTTTAAGAATTGATCTGCTGTAGCGATGCCCTTCCTTGCCTCCCCGAAATGGAAAGCAATTGTTGCGCATCTGCCCCAGATCAGAGCTAGGCAGGTCTGAGGTGCAGTTGGGCGACAGCTTTGCTGTACCAGTGACTTAGGCTTGATTATTTCTTGAAATTAAATCTGTATACTCTTGAACAAAGAAGATTCCTGCCCTCCCACAACACCTGCTTCTAGTCCTAGGAGATGGCAATATATTGGACTTTAAACTTGCGTCACCTTTATCTACAGAAAAGCTTTTTTGGTCAATCTCAGAAGTTTCTAAAACATTATTTATGGCATTCTCTTCCTTTAAAGCTTGAGCTAGCTCGAATTTGAAATACACAGTCGGACAATGAATGTTTGTAAAACGGCCACAAATAATGTTTTTGGTATAGATACAGCAGACACAGACTGGATAATACATTACTGAGTTGAAACGCACTTGTGATGACTCCCATAAGTGACAATAGCCTTATCTCAGACTCATCCAGATTAAAAGCTTTCTAGATGTTCTATCATATATTTCCAGCGCTTTTAATGTCACAATATTTCTCTGGTTTAGACTAGATTGCTTTTAGGCTAAAGCCGTTTTGTTCAGGTACGCCTGTTCAGCTGGTGATAGATTGAGGAATTTTTTGCATTTGCACAGTGTGCCCCGGGTAAAGGCTGGGCTGAGCTGCAGCCCCTGTGCTGACTAAGGAGGATCACAGAAGTTCCTTGTGATTTCCTTTCCTATAGGAATAAAGGAAAGGGACACGGGACAGAGCAATTCCTCGTGGAGCCACGCAGGACAAGATCATCACGAACCCTGTGTAATATATTGGTTTCAAATACAAAGCTCTGAACTCTGCTTCAGAAGTGGTTGCAAGGTAAACACAAATGTCAGGTAAATTGGGATAGAAGTGAGTATTTCTTAAGATCTCGTCATCCCATTAAACCGAAATGTTGTTCCCTCCATTAATTTCTCACCGGAGGCAGACCCGGCAGCCCAGCTAACACTGCTGGGTTCAGGGCGGCAGCCTCTCGGTGCAAAGCTGGCGCACGCCTGTGGTTGGCCTTGGTGCTTTTATCACATTGGTTTTCGTGATAACCTTAGCTGTGTCCTTGTTTTGGTCTTTATTTTTCAAGGGAAACCTACTTTAAAATCGAATGGTGGGGAGGTGTGATACTGTTTTCCAGGTAGTTGTACACGTTAATCCTTTAAATGGCTTTTGGGAACAGTTAATGTATTAGTGATGGTTATTCACATGAGGCAGTGTTGCATGAACAGCTAGTGACAGCTATTAACATAAGAAAGCTAAATATTTTAAATTGTATTTGGTATTACCACTGCCTAAATCCAGGTTACTTTTGCTTAGCTTTCAGCAATACAGCAGAGCGGTAAGCGTGGGCATCATCTCTTTTCCCAGAAGACCAGTAAGTTCGCTATCGATCGCAACAGAAGCTGTTTTGGAAAACTTGACTGAATTAAATATATATTTATCTCTGAAACGTAACATGTTTGGGCACTGATCCAAAGTCCATTAAAGTAAATGGGAAGACTCCCATTGGTTTTATTCCTTTTCAGATGATGCCTTTAGGACAGTGCAGGTGAGAAACAGAATTATGGGTTTGGTGCAGGATTCTCAAAAGAGCTGAAGTGAGATGCTTTTAAAATCCCTGCCTTTAGCTCCTTAATGTGATTGAAGTTTATACTCTAAGTTAACACATTAGAGAGATCCTATTTCTTTATATAGCACCTGTCCAGTAATAAGTAAGATTCCCATAAAAGAAAATTAATATGTTGTGGCGGTTCTTTGAATGGAGGAAAAGGGTGTGTGGGTGTTGGTGATCCTTTTGAAGTGTACTTCTGAGTCAACATCTGAAACTAGCGTTTCTAAAGGAAAGTTTGACTTGGGCTTCCAAGCTTCAGTGAAAAAATTCTTAGTATTTAAGTGTTACTTAAGGTCAGATTTATACCAGTACCTTTAGTCAACTTAATTCTGGAGGAAGGCATGAAACAATTGAAATTCCAGGTTCATATTTGCCACGAGAACCACTCTCTACTTGCAACTATTTCCACAATAATTAAAATAATGTACGGACTTGGTATTGTGTGTAAGAGTGATACAACATTTGTGTATGTAGCATTTGCTGCTGAAATTGGGCAAACAAGTCAATCATTGAACTTGTTTCTCAGGAGGGAAGAAACCCTCTCTTATAAGTTGTGAAACAATTTTCATTGTGTCCGTGAGTGGGGCATTTAAAGAAATATGTCACCTTAAGCCAAGTGATACTTGTAAGAAAGCCATAAATAGGAATTGTAACTTTCACTTATATGGATTTTTGCATGGTTAGATCTGACATCCATTCAGACGCAGAAGTTTACTTTAGGGGCTGATATACACGAAGTCCTGTTACAGGTCAGAGAGAACGCTCCAGAAAGATGTAGACAAGTTCCTTACACGTGAGCTAAAGACACTGAGCAATAAAACGTCAGAAAAGTCAGTACTGTTTTATCTAATTTTCTCAGACAAGTGTACTACTCTGAAGATAAGCCACTTTCCTGATTTCAATAATTGAATTGGTTTCAATCATTCGGAGGGGAAAAAGTGCAGTAAACTGTGCTATAATGACAAGGGCTTAATTGCAAAGCTCTGCTTTCACTGTTATTGCGATGTCCCTGGCTCGGAGACCAACTCCTTCCCTGCGATGCCGAGCGCTGTGCAGCTGGCGGTGGATCTTCATCAAGCTCTTCGCCCTTCTTGGTTCCACGCTGGTTCCTGAAATGGGGCAGTGGGGCTTAGAGGGATAAGC